AACTTAGTTTCAATATCTTTTCATGGATTCCCTATCGATTCCCTATTAACGTAGATCAGCTCGTATTTTTAGGTACGGTGGAAAGCTATCGATGACGTACTCCCAGTAATGTACAATTTCCCTTATACGGATTGTTATTGCTGTATATTGATATGTATGTGACGTAAGTCCAATACACTTCTGGGAGAGTGATGTGTGGAAGAATTGTACCGGAAAAGCTTGAATAATACTTGCACACCCACGCGAGTATACTAATGGCATGAATTAGAGCCGACAAGAGGTAGCATTAGGAATAAGCAAGATATAATTGAAATCTACGCATGGTACCTCGGAGCAACATACTGAATATATATTTGATGTAACGTTTAATGGAGTTTACATAAATAAATGGTAATGAGGAAAATTGGAAAATTATAAAAAAATTGAAAAAATAAGAGGAAAAAAGATCGAGGAAAGCTGAATATTTTCGAAACTTTATATTATATTTTCGTAAATAAATATCGAAACGGCACGCGTGTACAAAGCTGCCACTACATGACCGTTGAACGATTGACGGATTTGCGTTCATTGGACGTGAGCCATGACTGGAACTGACTATACATAGATCTTATAAGTTTAGGATTTGAAAAGCAAGTACTATACAGTATTAGCATACCTAAACTCCGTATTCAGAAATGATTATGTAATTACTTATTCAAAAATCATAAATTACATTACACTCGGTATAAATTACAAAACACATAATAGATTCCTGATGAGAGATTTATTACTTTAAAAATTCGATAAACATTTCATCCGGATTCCAAATCCAGAACACGTCTCCCCTAGTGAAGGTTTTTTAAAATAAATTCAAACTACCGCAAGAGACACAGCTATACCATAAATACCAGACTGAACGTAGTCAGTCTACTTAATTACGACTAACCTCGAAAAAATGAAGTGAGCTCTCAGAAAAGTCATAAAAATAATATAAAGTTGCATTTATTAAAAGTGTATCCTGTTCAATATCGATATAGCCATAAATTGCACTGTTTCCAAGCAACAGCTATTTACCAGTATCAGCCCTTTGGAAGGCTGCTGCCCTGAAACAGCTCGATCCCAAGAGAGCCGTTGCTGCGCATACGCACTGCGAATTCTCCCTTGAATGAGGTAGGCTGCCCATTCGCATCCGCTGCTGGGGTGTAGCTAGCTCTTTCATTGAGCGACTCCGGTACTTCCGTTTCCCGTTCATGCATTCGCCCTCTCCCTCCCTTCACTCGATTCCTTCATCTGACTCCCTCGCTCACCCTGGCTTCCTCTTCTCCTTCAACCCCTCTAACACTGTCATTCTCTCTGAGAGACCCTCCCTCGTTCTCCGGCCGAGAATTTCAGTCCCAGCCAATCGGCTGGCAAAGCCCCAACTAACGTCCTAACCCCGTTGACGGTCCTGACGTTACAAACAACTTTTTTCTTCTCTCCCTTTGTGTACCCACCTAGGAAACTTCAACGAACTGCAAAGTGGAGCCTTTAACATGATATCGACGGGATGCGATTCTCCACCTCGTAAACGTCATTACCACGACCCATACATTTTTATTACACAAAGCCTATCCTTTATTATCGACGGCATTAACGGTTACGTCGAACAGAGATGACAATAGTTCACGCATTCAGTATTTTATGCTTACGAGATTTTTATGCCGAATATTTTTTTTTCTTTACCCTTTACTTTGTCCATGTTAAAAATTGCCTATGAATGAAGAAACATATAACTCAAGCGGAAAGATGTTTTTATGAGAGTGCTGTAGGCTTTACTGATTTTTTTCTAATATAACTAGAGCCTCAGCCATAGCGAGGACGATCTCGTTCATAAATGGGTTCTACTCCCTTGTTTTTCCCCTGAACGCGTATCCCGGCTGATATAGCGAGGGGAACTGAAAGGGAGATGGCTATGGTGACCTATTTTCCTCAAGGTGACGTCAGGAGCGACCATTCACCTAGGAGCCCCAGGACGTCGCTATCGTGGTAAACTGGGTCATCATCAGAATAACGCAACAGCCCTGTAGCTTAAACTTCCCTTCATTACCCTTTGAGTAAGCACCTCACAGTCTAACGGTGATTCTAGGACAAGGAGGGACGATAACGTAGCTAAATCTAACGTTACAAGGGTTAAATAACGAGGGTAAATTTTCACTCTAGTTTTATGATCCCTTAGATATTTTTATTTTTTCGTTTCTATGCTTGCAGGTCAAACAAATATCGATACTAGGACTAGTCCGTTATTTTTTATAGAATACATTATACCACAGTCTTGGTATTGCATATCCTTATCCAAGTCTAATTCATTCTCATATCTGTTTTTAGTATCCTAATATTTTTTAATACCTATACCTTACCTTCGGAATGTTCTACGAGTTGCTTATCTTGGTGCTGCCAGTATAGTCAGGTGGGCTTACGTGTAATGTCCAACGTCGAATAAATGTATATATCACAACTGACATTTTATATGGCGCCTTGGGTGTCCCAAGGTAGAAAATATTCTGAATCAATATTGAAGATCGGAACGAGTCATTTCCGCAAGTAACAGACACCTGCCACGAGGGTGACTAATCCGTTCGAGACATTCCAATTCCCGACATCCGGTCGCTCGAATTTCTATCGCGTAACATCTGCCTCTGTGCTGTCGACGCAGTTGGCATCAACGACGCGAACGTTGAAAAAGGAAGCAGCTACGCGAGAAGGAATTCTTTTCGTAAAATACTTACCGATATAACTTCAAGAACTTTCGAGGTAGGATTTCATATTCCCGGATTCGTATTTCCCGCCTTGGATGATGAGCGATTAAAAGAAACTAGCGTACAAACAGAATGTAAAATATCAGCTTCCGAACGCCTCGCTGCGTTTTCAATTACCGTGCACAGTTTGCGGCTTGTTAAATTGATAAAAATAGAATACGTAAAGGTATACAAAGTATTCCCTATTCGGTAGTAACTATGTGAAATGGTATGCATGAAAACGTGCATCCACCTAGGGTATTTCTGGCTTCTTCTTATAACCCTGTTCCAATTCTCCGGTATGTGGAATACGTATATACGTATATATTAGTATTTCTATAGGTAAGGTCGAGCTTGTTTAAAGGTTTGCTTTAAAAATAGAAAAAGAAACCAGACGTCAGCCCGATTTGGTAACTCGTGTGAATCCCAAAGACCACTAGTTGATCGTTCCAGGATTTCTGCAACTCAAATAACAGGGAGTACCCACAGCTTATACACAACAGTAATCGGTTAAATACTGTGAATAAAATAATTGGTATCTCATTAGCACCGAGAGAATCATTCAATTGTAATCTCATCTAGTCGGAGAACAAAGCGATTCACAGTGACTAATTATTATTGTGTTATACGCGAAATTACTGCATCATACCTGTGAAGTAACCTGATTACCAACATTACAATGAAAACAAAAGATCAGGCAAAGTACGATGCAGAGTTTCTCTATGGAAGTGCCTGTTAGCATGCATAACTCAATAAACCCAACATGTACCAAGTGGTCCATCAATCGATAGTCTAGGAGTTTCATTAGCCCTGATCATACATTATACATTATGTACACATATACATACACGCATGGTTATTCAAACTATTGCATCATCTGAAGATGGCTCTGTCCATTTGACGTCTATTGATTCCCATGGTACATCTTCCAACTGTTTTCTAGCCACCTTCAGGTGATTCAATAGTCATAAACTACTGTGTGTATGGATACATAAAATACTCTGATTCTGCGTGAATATCTAAATTGACATTTTATATATGGTACATACCCGAACACCCCCATACCCCGTAGGTCAGGTAATTTCGGGACACCCTGTATATGACTTGAAAAATGTAAAGAGAATTAAAATTACGTGAAATAACATTATTTTATTTAACAACATATTTTCTGCTAGATCAGTAAAAATTTGAAAATAAAACTTTATAACCAGATTAAGTTGTATTTTATTTTATATCCGCACGACATTGCTATATGCAATTTAAAGAACAATGAGGGTTTTCAAGCTGTACGCTATTTTATATATAGAATACAATATGTATGTCTATGTATATATAAGACGAGTGTACATTAGTATATAAGGCAGACGAGGAAGAGTGTCAATATATATATACGTACGTATAACAGGGGTTGCAGTGGGCCAATGGGGTTGCTCTGGTGACCCAGTTTATCCCGGGGGTTGAATGAACGGCTCCGAACGCCATGACGTCATTCTCGACCTCATTTCCGGTTCCCGGTCCAAGCTCCATGCCCGGAGCTCCCAGCCGTTGATCCACGATATTCCATGAATCGGACAATCCTGTCTCAGCTACTTCATTCGGGTTTACGGATCTGGAAATATAAATTAATTTTTATTGATGATATAGATTCCGTTTGATAAAATCCTCCTCCAGATGGCCCTGAGCATTTAAATTGGATAAAATGGTCACTATTGGCAACCGATCATGCACTTAGAAATGAATACGTAAACTGAGCTAAGATTGAATTGGTTGGTACTCGTGACTTATCGTTATGCGCGATTTACGTGATAGCTAGAATATAGGAAAATATATTTAAAGTAAATTCCACGAATGACTTAAATTGCAAATGTCCTCGGTATATTGTAATGAGAAGTGAAAAAGATAAATGTATCCGTGGGTGCTAACATTGAAGAAATTGGTATAGTAAATTTTGTTTAGCTACCGTGTAGAAAAGTGTAGAATTCAAAGAATTTAGTTTCCTAATGTTAGTCCAATTTTAATGACTTTTCGAACATTTAAAACTATAGTTTTTTATTAGTCGTAAGGAGTGGCTTTCCTAGAATTCTTCTGAAATTCTTTAAGGGTCGCTGTACCACCCGTGGAAAAGGTATTGGACCTTAACGGAAGACTAATGCTTGTCTTTTCAATATTCTGTATCTTTAAAAGCTTTGAAGACTGTGTATATCTTTTGTGTTTTCTTTTCTACTAACTGTATAATATGACTGTACAATAACCGTTCCATCACACTGTTACGGATACCCGCTTCGGGTAAGAAAAGCATTTTAGCCAAAGATGCAAATCCTGTGTAGTTTACGGTCCAGCCATAAAACCTCTAGCAGGGAGCAGCATTCTCGGTATCTTCTTTCAGAGGAGAATTCTGAAATGCGATGCTCTTTGTGCGCTTGAAGTTTTCACTTAAAAGATTTATGAGTCCGTCGTAGTCAAGTTACCAACTTACAGTGACCATCAGAACTCTACTATAGTCTACCGTGTGTAGTACCGCTGCGCCGTTCAGAGTATCGATGTCATTCTCGACTCTCCGTAATAACGATTCGGATTGTTCATATAAAGTATAATGAATTTAAAATAAAAATTAAGATCGCACATTTCATTGGGATATTTTTTAATATTTTAAATGTTAACATAAGAGTGCCTCAAAGTTTTTGAAAATGATTGTGGTTTTTTTAAATTCATTTTCATGATGCAATTCACCTAATAATTCATACTGTAGTATTTGTCAATACAACTGTCTTGTGCAGAGCAGTTTAGAACTTTATTACGGCTAGATTGTCAAGATGAATTCCTAACTCGATTGGTATACATTGTTAATGAGTATGCAAATTCGCGTGCATCATCAGGAAGAGTGATGTATCATGAATATCATGATCTTGTGCATAATGTGGCTTATTAGCTTTTCGCATCATGCACGAAGCTTAATAAGGAATTTATTAGAGCAGCAGTCTGTTTGATAAACCGGCAATATCGATTAAAGGTCATCGTGAACGATGATACTGAGAGTATGATAAGTATTTTTAAAAAGGTTGACGGTCTTATTTTTGCTGGTAATTTTACATTGGCAGCATCTCTTTGCGATTATTCAAATATTCATAGAAATCGATCAATCGATTGGCGATGATGCTATTTGATGGATACTTATTATGTTATACGTTTCTTGATATTTGTAAATACAATTATTATAATTAGTAAACATAGAAAAGACGGATCAAATACGCCACGCGGATAGTACATGATACATGATGTTTCATATGTGATTTTTTAATATAATGTGTATCAGTGATAATTAACGCAATATACATATTTCCAGTGTTTCATTATTGTAGTAAACAACGCAAAACATTTGATAACTGTCTTTTTTTTAAATGTTCAATAATATGTTTATCTAATTATTCCAAAAAGATTGAGTGGTTAATTTTACACGTTAATTTTTTAATTGTTGTACAGGGTCTTTCAGCCTGATTGAATAGATGGTTGCGTCAGATGCCATCAGTCTTCAACTATACCAAAATTCATTTCACAAAAATGGAATTTCGAATATTCATTAATATTTAGTAGATTATTAATTTTGTTGGTTTTACCACCTTGATCAATATCGATTAGATGAAAGTAATAAAGCTGTTGCTTGTACGGGGAGCAAATATTAGCGCACGGTGCAAAGAGTCAACTCTAATATAGATAACGGCCGGAGAGTGATTATGTTAAGATTTCAAAAAGTGGTATACGTCAGTAAAAGTGAAGAATTTCTTAACTGGGATCCAATAAGCAAGAAACTTTCTCTGAAGAAATCAGCAATTTCTGAACCAGCATCAAATGGAGTCCTAATCAAAGCTGCTTATTCAGGAATATATGGAACAGATTTTCACATTATGGAAGCAAATTCTTAAAGTATAATTTAAATTTTAACGTGCAAAGTTTTGTGTTTACAATTTTGCAAATTTTAGAATAATATTCCTGGATCCAAAAAAGATGGACCCTTTACTCTCGACCATGAATCTTGCGGTAAGATCCAAGGTATTGGTTGTGCTGTACAAGTCTTTGAAATTGGGCAGAGTTGCTATCGATTCAAAAGAAGCTGTATCACTTGCGACGAATGCCACAAGGAGAAATATCATTTTTGACAAAATACTGATGCAAAGAATAGATGTAGAACTAATGAGGATGGTGCATGGGTTACGCACATCCTGGTAGAAGGGTGGCAGGTCTGTAATGTAAGAGCGTTTGGAATTGATAGTTTTTGCAGGCCCTACTTTACATAAGATTATCTTTAAACCCCGTTTACATTGCTACCTTTTAATTTAACGGTATGATCAAACACTGATACTGTAATTTTTGTAACGTTAATGAAACTTATCATACTGTTTCTAGGTTCACTTGATACCTGATGATGTTGAATTAGCCAAGGCTGCTCTTACAAAACCATTATCTTGTATAACACATGAATGAGATCTGATAAATCTAAAAACCGTAAGAACTTGAATATCGATAGCAGTTGCCGGAATTATTGGATCACTTTGGTCAGCTGTTCTTCATCTGCGTAGAATTAGAAAAATATTAATCATTAGTGAAGTATAGGAAAAGAAAGAAGAAGTAGTTAAAGATTCAGGTAAGATCTTGACGTATCGTAGATATTAAAAATTCAACCAAGTTATTTTTATATCACTGATTTCTCTTGGATTTTATAAATTGTCTTTATATTCAAGATCTGGGTTACGAGGTGAAGAGTGCCACAGAATTGCAAGGTCAAGAATTTTATTTAACTATAGATTGCGGTGGTTCTGGGCCTACTATTGACGGCGCATTACCTTCTCTTGGTCGTTGAGGACGTCTCCTTATTTTTGGAGTAGCTCATACACAAACGAAAGTAACCGTAGAATCATTTCAGGTAAAACATTTTTCACTCCTTTGAAAATTTAATATACTAAAGACTTTTGATATTTCTAACGTTTACAACGTATACACGGAGTTACAGATAGTCGGCTCGTGCATAAACCCACTCTCGTTCCCCAGTGCACTGTCGCTATTGCGGGTAATGTCAAATGAATACTTAAATTACGAAAAGTTAGGTGTAGGCGTTTATAAACTGTCCAAGTACGCCGAAGTATTTCAAACGTTGAAACGAGAAGATATTAGCAAGGCCGTATTCAAAATATGAAATTTTGGCCGTCATTAGGAAATTACAATGCGGATAACAGAGAAAACACGAGTAAATCAGTTGTTCATTTTGGGGTTACCTTTATTAAAATTCGTCGTAAAAATGTATTGTTTGAAGTAGTTAATCTATACAATTAATCTTGTAAAAAAAAGACGCATACAAAAAATCTATCTATGATTCAATTAGTTATTAACTCTCTATAAATGTAACTATAATCAGACAGTTTTGTCACGTATTACAAGGAAACAACCTTGTTATTGAGCAATCAGGCTATGCACTCAATGAGATACGTACAGCATCCCTTAATTAGGTACCCACGGAATGTTTAAGATATAATATACAACTTTCATAATCTAGCACTAGATCCAAAGGCCCCGTAACAAGATTAAAATTTTATAGTTTCCATTTCTTGATTAATTAAAAACCAAATTATTACTCATTGGTATATAATATAGTCTTATTCCTCGGAAAGGACTATAGAATTTTAACAACATTCGGATAAAACAAATTTTAAGTCATTAATACCAATATCAACTACTGCATTAAAGTTAATATCATATGTGACTTAACACTACAAATATCAATGAATTTCTTAAATCCTTCTCTAATTGTCAGTTACACTGATCCTGTGAAGGGGCATAGATGAAATGTACTCAATGATATTATTGCTAGACTTGCAATTGTCTAATTCCCTCTGGAATGGTATGCTACCAACATTTGTATACTGTTGGCCCCTACGTAAGTATATCAATTATTAAATTGCCTTTAGTATCTTGGTGTAAATAACTACAAAAATAATCGACCAATAATAATAATATAAATGAAAAAAAAGAGATTCAACCACTAAGGGCAGTCGCGTTTAAATATCTAAAATTTAGTAAAAATGGTGACACTCAACACGGTCAGCAGCAACTTTGATGCTGTGCAGCGATTTCCCGTTGCCCACTGCAATCCAGGATAATTAATATTTGGTGTAGAAATTTCTGTAATCAGAGATAGAAGCATAATCGTTTAGTACATTCTTTTATTTAACTCACATATTGTGATTGGACTTGTATCAGTGCAGGGCTAGTAGGTTGTTCTGTATACGAAAAGCAATCACCATGCAAAAATAAATAACAGCATTAACTTACCTTAAGAAAGCTGCCAGAACTAAGGCAAGAGCTATTAATGGCCCTGAAGACATCGGAATCACACCAGTTCCATAGATAGCTTGACCGCAAGCCGGTGGACATACAGGAATAATGGTTTCTGCACAAAGAGACAACAAAAACACTAATACATGCTGTCTACCAAGCTGGATTTCAATTTACTCTATTAAATAAAAATAGTAAATATTATACTGAAAAACTTTATAAATATAAAGAAATTATTTTTATTACGTCACTGTACTAGAAACCTAGGTAAGTATCAAAGATTGTGAAAACACATGAGTAAATACATATCAAAATATGTCAAATGGCTTAAAATCAAAACTAATCAATCAGAACATTGTAGTGAGGCAATGGACATGCTTACTCAAAATACGAATTTATCAAACACTAAAAAGAATAAGAACAGTTACTCTGCATCCCATATGCTATAATACTGGTAGCGAATTGGACTGTAATAAAATAAAAATATATTCAAATACAAGAATTGGTAGACTACGTCCAGTATACTTATAAAAGATACTTATATTAGGAAATTCTTTTAAAAAATTGAATAGGGATGATCAAGAAATAACTTACCAAACAGCTGAACTGTAGTTTGAGCGGTTCCAAGCTTGTTGGCAGCTCTGCAGATGAACTCGCCATACTGCCTTTTTTCAATAGTTATAACTCGAATTGTCGTATCTGTATATTCGTCGGCGGTTGCGAAATGAGATATACTGTAATGCTGATTGTTTGACAACTCAATGTCATCTTTGATCCAAGTGATGGCTGGCGGAGGATAAGCTTCAACGTGACATTCTAAATTCATATCATACTGTAAAGCTTGACCCAGACGAGGTCGAGGTGCTGTTATAACTGGAGCAAATTCGACTTCTACATTAATGTTACGCCTTGCACCGCGACCGACACCATTTTCTGCTACGCAATAATATGTTCCGCGATCTTCCTTTCTGATGGCTGAGACTTTTAATGTATTCCCTCTATAAGATTATCATGTATTTTATTATAAAGGGATGTATAAAACGTTAATGTTAAGTTATGGGATATGTGTTTTATATCTTACCGGTAAATGGAACCTCCTGTTGGTAAAATAGCATTATTTTCTCTGCGCCATGAGATTCTTGGAGTTGGAAATCCTCCTGCATAACAATTCAGTTGGACCGGTTGACCTTCGCTGACGACAAGAGATCTTGTCGAGTTATCACTGATAATAGGAGGTCTGCGGACTTGCAATTCAACCCCGGCTGAGATTCGATTGTTTAAGGAGATAAGAACTTGACATTGATAAACTCCAGCATCTGTCTCTTGAATATCCTTAATCTAAAATGTTCAAGGGCAAATGCTTTTCATAATTTTATAATGTCATATGACTATTATAAAATGATATTATATGTAAGTATAATATAAGTATAATATTTTATGCAAGTGTTAGAAAATAATCCAATTAATCTAATGTACTTATTAAATAACTCAATGGTTAAATGAGACATAAAGATTGTTCTTTAAAAGCAGTAAGTACCTGTAGAGTATATGTTGAAGAAGCAGTATCATATCGTAGAGCAAACCTGCTGTCACGGACAATAAGAGAAGTGCCTGATGACAGAGGGAGCTGATCACTTCCACCTTCCTTATTAAATTTAATCCACAGAACTGGATATTCTTGGCCGTATTGTACAGAACACAGTAATTCCACAGTATCACCAATGTCCTTAATTTGCTCCTGAGATATGTATGATATTGTAGGTGTTCTCTGACACGATACTAAAATTATATTAAAAAAATAATTTGTATTTTCATATAATTTGCAAAATGGATACAAAAATTAACGAATATCTTAAGAGATAACGCTTATATTAAATGAAATGATAACAGAGCTATTACACCTAATAACGCTGGGCATTATTTCTATTTAGATTTATAAGATTATTTAAGAAATTCACACTCAACTCGACTACTTATTTATGCTAATTCCAATCAGAGTTAATCATTACTCCCATTTATCTTCCCGCTTACCGAGTTGCATAACAATTAACATGAAACACTGAAGTAGCTGCACACGCACTTAAATATAGTTAAGACAATAAATGAAGAATTGCTAAAAATCCATAAATCAATCGATATTTATGTTATACGAATTATTACTAAACATAGTTTAAGAGTAATGAAAATTCCAAATATACCTATTTTTAAAAAGGCCAAAGCCAGAATCACGCCGATGCTCTTCATAGTGACACACCCAACAACTTATTACACCAAAATATTCTTCACCTTATTTCTACCCCGTTGATATTTACACCACTAAACATAGGCGACTAATTTATCAGATCTTTTTAAGAAATTTTAAACGTAAGGGTTGCTGTGCGACACAACAACCTGAGATATGCACTTGTTTTCAAACAATGTAGCCCACAGCATTCACAGGTGGCTGTAAATCGAAGTTAAATATGGCGAATGACGCTACATCTTTAGTCAAGTGACTTTCCAGTAGTCATATCTTTATTTAAAAAAAAGCGATTATTAAATCTCATACAGCTGTATACAATTTATATCATTGATTGTATATTAAAGGGTGACAAATTAAAATAATTAAATGGCACTTAAAACAATTCTTTACCCATACCCTACAGGAAATATAATATAGTAGACTATAGTATATTACATACTACCTCATATGCTTCTGTGTCAAATAATAACAGTATTTTAGGCGCATTCCCCTTGAGTGATATGACCTTACATATAGAACTACGCACTATATGGCATATCAAAGTACGATTGTACATATATATGTATATAGCTGTAGCTCTCAAATGGTACATTGACATAAAATATTTATTTAGTAAATTATGTATGAAAGGCTTTGAAAGGTATTGCCTGAAAAGCTTCATATAATGATTACTAAATTTCAGTCGTTTTTACAAATCTGACATCTTGCTACATTTTTAACAGTATTCGAGTAATTTATCGATGTGGAATAAGTCTTTCAAAAATTGGATCGAAAAAACAATATTTTACCAAGACGAATCAATGTAATTTGAAATTGCTAGTAAAACAATATTTCTTACTGCCGTAACGATAAAGTAAGAAAGTTCGAATTAATCACGAATTATAATAATGTTAACATGCAATCGAATGTTGCTAACGCAAATAATTACAAGGGTTGATGCTATACAAAATTATTTCAGCTTAAAATAGCCAGCTCAGCTAACACGTAGCACGTTACTGTATCTAATTCTGGAATCGAATAGTGAAATATTAAGTATGGCTTTGGCAAGAAATTAAATATTACTTCCCTTCAAGCATCACGTATGGAATTGACGTCTCTAGACTAGATACGTTAGAATAAGAAAATCCATTACGTCACCATGTTCATTCCGAACTATAGATTAGCTTTCGATAGGTCATATACGGAATGAGTGTAGAACTCGTGGTCAATTCCAAAAATAGTTTAACTGGTACCATGTATGCTGTAAGAACATGTGCTGATGCCGTTTCGGCTTTTGAACGCCCAATCATGAATTTCACGTGTGGCTCACGTTCTTTTAAGTATGATCAGTAATAAAACCGGTACTAAGATAAACTTATACTTAAGGTAAATCCACCACAAAGTAGAATGACGTATATATAATGTTTAGACACAGGAAAAGCATAGAGAAAAGTTGCGCCTGTGCTGTAGATTCATACCAATATCGCTATTGGCGTATGTACATGGTACATGTGTATGTTGTTCATTTGGTAACCATAGCAATTGGTAAGGCTCATTGTCGTGTTATCGCTGAAATACAGGGTAATTCACCTAGTCTTCCAAACATACATATATATATTCCATACGTGGAGGGCATATATGTAGCCCATAGCCACCCTTCAGAGCATCAGTATATGATGTATCCTCGGCACGAGCACTGAACCTACGCACCATTATTGAACATCGACTACTTATATAGCGACATTCCAAAAGTAAAAGTTACTTACATATTTTAAGTTAATTTCTCTAAATTTATTGATAAACTGATAAAAATAAAAATATATGTACCATAAAACGTACTTCAAAAAATTCTTCACTGATAAACTTGTTTCAAAAATTTTGTAAAAGTGTGCGGACTTATGAAGTACAACGTGAAGTTTTGAAACGCCACTCAGGAATGCGTTTGATCAAGAAGCATCTCAGCGAGCGTATTGTTTTTCAGCGTCGATGATCTTCATGAACATCGTGTGTTTTGAAAGTGTTCTGTAAATGAAACATTATCAAGGATCAATGTAATGATTGAGAAGTATAACAAAAATCATTTATAAAAATTCCCTATACCCATTTAAATTATATCCGAAACTGATTGTCATGGATCTTGAGATTCAGGCGGCATCTATTTGATAATGGGGCAAGATTTTTCCTTGTTGGGTATGAAGAATACGAGGAGAAGATTGGTCAAGGCTGTATGATTGTACTCGACGGGTTGGCCTGGGGGTAGGCAAGTGGGCAGTATTGCATTTATAATTGAACTACAGTCCAACCAACGCGAGGCCGCCACGGATAGGAACGATCAAAACTGATCGATGTCTGTTTTCTGCAATGAACAATTGGACACTGTTAGAGAAGGAGTACTAGTTCGTGAGCGGAGACTTTTGACAATATCCTTACCTCCATTACCCAGTAGTCTTCCTGGTTGTAGCCCAAGCTTTTCCATCTGCAGCTCGACAAGCCCCGTTTTTGAAAATCTTGGCATGGACGCTGATAAGCTGCGACTCGAGGACGAGACACAGGTAACATTTTTTATTGACGTAATATTGTCGTACTCATTTTAACTGAATAATTATGCTATGGTTACTTAATATTAAATTAGTCGCAAAGAGCTTCCAATGAATATATTAAGAATTAGTAATATACTGAGTAAGTGTGATTATTATCAACAGGATTTTCACAGTAGAAGACCAAGCCGTGGCGATGGGCAATCACAAATTCCTGAAATCAGTCCCAGCAAGTCCCAATTCAGTGATCTAGTTAGATCTATAGGATCGTCAGACACACCCCAGACATCTTCAGCGACTCCATCACCAAGTAAAGAGGCAGCAAATCACACCGATGCAGTTTATGACGTGACGAAGCCCGTGTTACAAAGTTTAAAAAGTGAAACGGTTCCCGAAACGGAGAGAAATGGTCTAGAGTTGCAGGTGCAATCAATCAATGAGAATTCTTCCATGACGAATAGTCCTAGAAGTGGAAAAAAATTCTCCAGGGCAAGTGTGCATCCTTCGGGGGCTATTTTGACGGTACGAGATGCATTTGGTAAGCTTACAACGAAAATAAACAATTATTTTATTTTACCCATTTGCTCTATTCAATAAAATGGCCCCCTATAGTCATCCATTGGCGTAGAAGACTTCCTGAAAATTTACAAAACTCCACAACACAGTGTTTTATTACATAAGGATAAGAGGCATCAAAGTCTAGATAAAGCTAAGTGGCTGCCGGTAATATCAACTGTAAAATCCTTTTGTCAAAGAAAACTAACACGTAACACCGGTACGAATGTTAAGAGGTATTAAAAGGCGTAGAGGCACGCGATTCTTTTAATGATAATACCTTAAGTAAGTTATTCGTTAGCCATTTATAACAACAGCCTGTTGCACTATCAAGATAAAACACAACACGTAAGGTTCTCGTCAACCCGAGTCTGACTTCAGGAATAAATGCATACCTTAATACTATTGTATTTTCACTACAAAGTCAATGAGAGCATGTCTCATTGCCTGAGCATTGCCTTTCATGCAATATATTAGGCGGATCGAAAAGTAATGTCGTTTCTGCGCATTTGAATTTAATGTGAAAAAACGACATTACCTTCCGGTCCACCTGATACTATGCATTGAACGACGCGTTCACAAATAGCCATAACCTTACCTTTGTAAAAATTGATGAACATCGATTATCATTCGACACGTTTGGCTATATTTATGATGGTCTACATAAATTACTTGTCTCACTGTACGAAAACCTAATTAGCAATAGCTCAGGCTGATATTTCAGCTTGTTCACCCGTAGACTGTACAACGAATCTTTATCGCGTAAATATAAACGTATCCATTTCACGTGCTCTCGACTTATATTCGCGCTCATTATTCAAAAAATCGATTACAAATAACCACTGAGAATAAACGAAAAAATAATTCTATGACTGTGTATTGTTTCTAGAGAGCCGGTTCTCTAATATTAAAAACCAGTGGCATTAAGCCACGATCGATATACAGTCGAATGTCAGTATGTCACGACACGAGTACTGTTAGACGCCGCGCAAACGTTCAGCGATTTACGTCATGTTATTCGTAATGTGATTTTCATCGATGACAAGTGAATGATTAGGTACACTGTTGCGTGCAGATAAATAGCATAGATATAATAAATGCAAGTGGATTTGATAAATACAAACGATGCACATTTCTTCTGTAAAGACGCACTTTTTTCTACATATCAGGAACAGCAAGACTACTTGAAAGATCAGCCTAGGCCCTGGGGACGCATATTGATCAAAGATAGCTATTTGACATGCAAAATGAACTTATAATATTGGATTAGATACATACGTAATTATTGTGATCTAAAATATACAAAGGATTCGCGTATGAGTGACAAGAGCCAATGTTGCTACTTTAAAGGCGACAACAAATTTTCCTGTTGATTATAGGCAAACGAACAACCACTTGACCTAATTACATATCAAACCGAGCAACGTTAGGTCAGGTTAATTATTAATGCATAAGGGGTTCGTACGCGTCAAAATTAATATATAAAATCGATTATGCTTACAATAATGGCTCTGGTTGTAAAACGCTGTTTGTTAAAGAAATTGATAGATTCACAAGAGGTAATACGATTTTTTTTTAACCAAATTTTCATAAATTTATTACTCGATTTGTTAAAGGTCCAAAGTTACCACCGGCTACTCCCGATGCTAGTCCATCGTTACCAGGGACTCCTATTCCTACAGAATCTGACAGCGAAGTCATTACTAAAGAGCCTGTAGTGGGAAAAAGTTCTGGCTCGGATAACAATGAAACAGAGCAAGATCCAGAAACTCTGTTCTTTCGGTAATAATATTTCTAGATTATCGTAAAAAGCTGTGATACTTATGTAGCATATTTTTAGGATGTTTTTTTAAAAAAAAATGGTCAGTACTCTTCCGTGGGACTTTATTAGTTCATGCAGGACATACTTGAAATTTTATGAAATGTTTTATGCAAGAGACTTATAAAAAGCTTCAGGCTCCATTTTATTATTCTATGATGGTGGAGGAACATGCAACACTTTTCATTTTGAATCTAATTTTACTACAATTGGTTAAGTGCGACTAATGCATTTATTATTCAACACCTCCGTGTTTAAAAGTAATAATGCGTATGTTGTACAGATGACAATGTTTGCTTGTCTGCGTGCCACTAAACCACGTCGTCACATTTTAACCCCGACTGTGCGCCTGCCTAAGGGCAGGTACACAATATGTTACGGGCTTTAATGGTACTACATATATATGCAATTTTGCATTTCATGTATGAAAATATCCCCATGTAGATGAACGATATGAAATATTTAGTTAGCAAAGGACAGTAATTGTAAAGAGAACATTTTATTGTTGGAAATAAAAAAAAAGTACTTTTCATTATAGTTCGTTATATTATCTGTCTGCAAGATATAATCATAAGACATTAATATACAGAGTCACAATTTTTAGATAAATTTACACTTGTTCAACATTATAAATATCCGGATAGAATATAGTATATATTTTTGAGGATGTAATTTGAAAATGTTGTTATTACGTAAACACGTAATTCATACATATTTATTAAATTGACAATATTGACATATAAGTTTATCCAATATTTTATACTTTCAGTGATGGTCGTAGGAGAATAGATATGGTTTTGGTGTATCAAGAGGAAAACGAAGGCGTCATGACGGAAGCAGAAGCTCGCAGAAGAGAGCAAAGGCGTGTCTTCCAACAAAATCTCTTAAAGGAAGGACTCCAAATGGAACTAGAACCAAAGGAAAATTCATATGATGGAAAAACATATTTTTTAAAACTGCATATACCATGGAAGATCAAAGTACAATATGCTGAAGTAATGAACTTGAAATTGCCCACCAAAAGATTCATCACGATATCTGTAAAAGCATGGGTGAGCAGGAATGAAAAATATCTCTGTAAAATTAAAAATCCTTCAATCACTTAATAGAATTAATATTTCAGGGTGACGAGGGTGGTAAAGCCAAATCAAAAATATGGGAAAAATGGTTACCCTGGCTGGAATGGATACAAAAGATACATTCTTGGGACTTGAGTAAATATCCAGAAGAACCGAGCTTCTACGCAAGCACGGATTCTGGTGATAGAGAAGAGAGGTAAGAGTACAGAATTGTTAATGAACGTGTCCAATCTGTAATACTAATACTTCTCTTGACAGATTTGTAGTAAAAGACAGAGACACAGCTTATACACCTGCACAGAGGTCTTTGATAGTTATGCAAATACTACTAAGAGCAAGATACGATGAAACTCATGAAAAGTCTGGCATTAGAAGACTTTTAGCTGATGGAACATATCTCGACTGTTTTCCCTTGCACGAAGGCTCATATGAGAGACCTGGTCCCAATGGAGAACTCACAGACAGACATTTATTGTATCTTATATGGGCAAGACCATCTCAATGGTAAACACTTTCTGATGAATCCTCTTTACAATTGAGCTACGTATTTAATCATTGTCTTTTGTTTTCATGTCATCCTTATTACTTATATAGGTATAAAAAACAACCATTATGGCTAATCAGACGATACTTTGGAGAAAAGGTAGCCCTGTACTTTGCCTGGTTAGGCTTTTACACGAAATCGTTGTATCCTCCGGCCATTGTTGGACTTTTGTGCTTTATATACGGAATTGCCAGCATGGACGGACCCGATAACATGCCCAGTCACGAAATTTGCGATGTGAAAAGAGCTGGTGAGAAAGCGAACCGAGTGCGCGTTGTTCGAATGAAATTTTGACTGCTAACGGTCATTCTGTTTTAGTTGAGATTATTAATGTATTTTTTTTTTTAACACAGGCAATATCACGCTTTGCCCTCTTTGCGACAAAGCATGTACATATCGAAAGCTTCGTGAATCTTGCCTCTTTTCTAAATTGACATATTTATTCGATAATCCAGCTACAGTTTTCTTCGCCATTTTTATGTCATTCTGGGGTGAGTTGATTAGTTGATCAGATACAATATCACATATTTATATTGCAAGACTCTTAATTATCCGTTAATACCGTAGCAACGACATTTCTGGAATTATGGAAGCGTCGTCAAGCAGTGATTGTCTGGGAATGGGATCTTCAGAATTCAGAAGGAGATGAGGAACCTAGACCAGAATTCGAAACGTCTGTTAAAACATTTCGAATAAATCCGGTCACCAGAGAGAGAGAACCATATTTACCAGGATGGTCCAGAGCATTGAGATTCATCGCTACAAGCTCAATGGTATTTTTTATGGTTAGTCAACTCTAAATGGATAATTATAACAATAGGGATAACACGATGGAATTATGACTGATAATCATCTTAGCGTATCAATCTATCAATTTAAACGTTAACAAACTAATTCCCACATTCTATATCCATGTAAACCAGATTTGTGTAGTACTGGGTGCTGTTTTGGGGACAATCATATATCGAATATCTCTGGTCTCGATATTCTATGCCGGCGGCGGAGACTTTCTAAAAAAGCATGCGAAAATTTTCACTTCCATGACAGCCGCTCTTATCAACTTGACAATAATCATGATACTGACACGAGTATACCATCGATTAGCTAGATGGTTAACTAACTTGGAGAATCCAAGAACACAAACCGAATACGAAGACAGCTACACATTCAAAATATTCCTATTCGAGTTCGTCAACTTTTACTCCTCTCTAATTTACATAGCATTCTTCAAGGTATATCAATATTAATCTTTTCATGTTCTTGTAATAATATTCAAGAAATGTGAGGAAATCTTGATTACGTATTCTCACCAATAATGCAACCCTCCACTTCTCAGGGAAGGTTTTTTGTGCATCCCGGCGACGAGGGTTCTCGCTCATCTGAATTCTTTCGCATTAAAACAGACGTGTGCGATCCTGCAGGTTGTCTCTCCGAGGTTTGCATTCAACTGGCCATTATAATGGTAGGGAAGCAATGCTTCAACAACTTCCTAGAGATCCTTTCACCAAAAATGTGGAACTGGTGGCGAAAGAGGACTCAGAGGGCTGCCACAAAGGATCGTACAAGACAATATACATGCTGGGAACAGGATTATCAACTTCAGGATCCTGGAAGACTTGCGTTATTCGATGAATATTTAGAAATGAGTCAGTACTGGATAACGTTAGCTGAAACATATTAATTAGGAATATCAATTAATGTAAAAATATTTTTTAGTTTTGCAGTATGGATTTGTTACGTTATTCGTGGCAGCCTTTCCTCTAGCTCCGCTCTTTGCACTGCTAAATAATATAGGCGAAATAAGATTGGATGCTTACAAAATGGTAAAGGAAGCTCGAAGACCTTTGGCAGAAAGAGTGGAGGATATGGGTGCCTGGTTTGGTATCCTCAGGGGAGTAACTTATGCAGCTGTAGTAACGAATGTACGTGTCCCAACACGTTTGCAAAGCTTAAACAAATGAATAACTGTCAGTCTTACAGGCATTCGTAATAGCGTATACGTCGGACTTCATACCGAGAAGTGTATACGCGTTTGTATATTCACCTACAAACGATTTAATCGGCTACATTGATAATTCCTTATCCGAATTCAATACTTCCCATTATTCGGCCGATATGGGTAGCGACACGGATGATCCTGACCCTCCTGTATGCCAATACAGAGGTTATAGAAATGGCCCCAATGCGGAACGACCTTACGATCTCAGTTTTCAGTACTGGCATGTTTTTGCTGCCCGACTGGCATTCGTAGTTGTATTCGAACATGTAGTAAGTATCTATAAATGACATAATAAATGCATGACACACAACAAAATTCATAATGATCAATTCTTAAATATGAATTCCTTGTATATACAATCATAGCTTTATAACGGCCTATATATTATTAACAATTGTTTCAGGTATTCGCACTGACCGGTATAATGAGCTATGCAATCCCAGCAGTACCTAGGGCCGTTGCAACGCAAATACAAAGGGAACGGCTTCTAGCACAGGAAGCTAAGTATGAAAAGGGACTTAAGGGCAGGGAAGATGAGGATGATTTGCTTTCGATACTGAGAGAATCCGGTGCTATCGGGAGAATCGGTGGTGGTCGTGGTAGTTGGGCTAGACGATTTAGTAAACTGAGCGACGGACTGGATGCTCATGTCGAGGTTGGTTCTAGGCGTAATAGACAAAGCGATGCTTCTACAGTCTGGGAAGTCACGTAGTCGATTCAAAGTTAATTAGAGACTGAACTGATAAGTATACGTACATATCGCGATACTTTGTTGGAAAACTGTTTTTACCAATTGATCGTGACTTCAACGTATCTAACTTCTATCGTTCATCCTTGAGGTCAAGGCTATCAATGCCATTTATAGTATGTTGGTACACGAATAAATTATGAATGTTCAAGACCCTGAGAAACGTAGATTTGTACATACGTAGAGCCGTGGTGCTGCTAACCGTCGTTTGTCCTAGGTACTAGACATTTCAATCAAATATACAATATGATCATTAGGTCATTTCATGAAAAGTTTATAAAAACTGTTTCCATGTGATACTCTAGAATGGAATTTCTTTCCGCATAAAATGACGATCAAAAAGTATAGAAAATTTCTGTTTTATCTGATAGCGGATGAAGAGCAATAGCAATAATACTCTTTAGGGTATTAATATTGAATCAAAGTTGGAAGCAAATATCATTGAGCATTTTTAAATATCTCATTGTTGTTTTTGCAGTTGCGCAGAAAAAACAAACAATATCTCGCTCAAGTAAAGATGCTACTTTCTTGTTGAGTTACAGACGATCAGAATGCCAATTTTACACCTTAATTTTTAGTTTTAAGAGTATTTTGCTCAATTTATCAAAAAGTGTGCAAAGTGAAATCTAAGTAAAATACACAAGTTTGACTGTAACAATTGACAAAAAAGTTGAAATTACGCAAATGTATGAATACTGAAAATTCAATACTCTGTGAATGTTACGCTTATTACATCCGTCCAATGATTATTGAATCTGTCATATGTATCAATTTAAATAAGAATGTTATTATTAAAAATGATTAAATTTGAATAAAAAATCAAAAGCAATTATTCCTCCTGGATTCCTATTTCCTGAATGCAAGTAAATTTCATGCATAATAACATAACACCACGTAGAAACTACAGATACAGCAATAAAAGTTGAGAAAGAACAATCGTAGTACTACACAATATACTCTTTATTTTACACGATTTTATAATTTCACTTTTCTGTCTTACTTGCGTCCGACATTATTACAATAACTATCGGTAGAATATATTTATAATAATATACATGTACATATTCAATCGTTTTTCGCTATTGATTCCATTTATATTTATTTATACTTAGATAGGTGTATTGGCCTATGGTTCGCTCGATTCTGCATTTTCTTGCGTCTGATTTTTCATTTTAAATTCTAAACGTCTAGTTACATAACATACATACCCACGTTCAAAGTGTATCACAGTTGTGTTGGGGGACAGACAGGGATGAAATGGGATAGGCGGGTCGCAGGGTACAGGGATCAAATGCAGTTTACCCACAAGTTAAATCACCGAGAAAAACATAATTTTACAGCAACGAAGACTAGTCACTACATGAAAGACACTTTACAACTTTATCAAGACATCACACGATACCGAATATAAAATTGTGTAAGACAAAACTGAAAACAAGTATATTTTAGTTAGTTAAGATGATAGTTCCTCGTATCGAGCAGTCCACAAAAATGAAATGAATTTGACCTAAGACGTTTCTACTGTGACTACCAGAAACTGTCCGTGACTGCATCACACTCTATATTCTTTCACTTACCTAATTATCTAACTGAAGTTAATTAGTGTAGGTAATAGAATTAATGTAAAGACATATCTTCAATCACTATGAAAGTCACTGTAAAAATGCCTTACCTTGAAGACATGACATAACAAACGAAATAAGTATTTTGAAAAGGACAAAAAGTTTTGTTGCAAAAAAAGATCAATAGACAATGTATAAAGTACATGAACAACTGTGCTGAACATTTCTAAAATGCTATTTCATTATCATAAAAGGAGCTTGCTATATATTTTACGTTATTGTAATTCTTTGAAGCCATATGCATTAGTTTCGTATCAGTCACGTTTATCGTTATGAGTAAACCACCATGAACCCTTCACGTTTATGTGGGTAAGGGCAAGGAACAAGGAAAGGAGGATTTAACTGGGCCCAGATGGGGCACCGAAATTAAACATGGTCGTTGGTGGACGTCCTGGCAGCGGTTTTGGCGGTAACCTTGGTGTTACCGATCCTGAAATATAAATTTTTTACGAAAACATATTAGCCGCAATTCCCCGAATAGCTACATTATGAGTGCTTCAGTGATAGAGATGTATTTCGTAGCTGTAATTAAGTGTGTAGCGATTTATACGAATTTAATTGAGCGAAATAAGAAAGCTAAAAATGATACTAAAAACCTACAAACTTAAGATACTCAATCTATAGAGTACAAACTTTCAAAGTAAGGTGTGAGTAAGCAAATCTTATATGTATTAAATTTTATAATTATGCGTCTTAAAATTTCTCTTGCTCCAAAGTTAAATGTTATGTTCATTGGTTTTTATCGTGTTGTTAACCTCTTAGGCAAGGCTGAATTTTGCGCGGGGCTGTTTCTCTGTACGGCAGAGTTCAACGCGAATTACGTGTAAATGATACGGCACTGCAATGTGTGACGGATAATGCTATTCTTTACACGAGTACATTGGAGTGAAGTGTTTGATGATTAAATTATAATTTTTTCGCATCCGCGAAAGCCACTATAGTGACGCATAATGCCTAAGAGGTTAAATAGTGTGTATGATAAGTAGCCACATAAGATGGTGCTACAAGTAGAGTGAATTTTATGTGGAAATAATGAACAAAAAGATTATTGTAAAAACTCACCATTCGGCTGAGTAAGTGGAAGCTTGGTAGGACTGGGTCCATTGAAAGACATGTGTCGTCGTGGATGAGCAGGAGTGGGACAAGAGCCCTCCAAAGTGGAATTTCGCCTTGCCAATAATGCTGAACTACTTGGATTTAAGGCAGAAGGAAGTCGTGGCGGTAGCGTGGCTGGAGGTAAATCTCTTCGTGGTGGTAACGGTGGCGGGGATGTTCCTTCCCGTGGAGGAAGCATAGGTGCGTTTGGAGCTTGTCGAGCCTAACCATGTTTTTCCAACAAATTTCATAAATTTTGTTAGCTTATCATACACGGCAAGCATAAGAATACTTAGTAACACTTTTATATACCTGCTGCGGCGACTCGCTAACGGAACTCTCCCGCCTTCGATGAGATCTGGGTGGCAAGGGCGGTGGGGGTTGGCTAGCAGGTATGTGGCTAGGTGAAGGTGGCGGAGGCATAGGCGCTCCAGGACTCCCACTGGACGAAAGTCCTGTTAATGCACCCATTACGCCAATGGTCCCTGAATTGAAACCGAAGTGTGTGGTTTGCGGTTGATGATGTGGAGGAGGAAGATGTCCAGGTGATCCTAACTGAGGACTGCTTCCTGGTGAACCGATAGAGAGGCCAGACATGCTTAAAGGACCAGGCGAACCTGGTGGTGGACCTGTTCCTAACGAAGTTGGTAAAAAAAAAGTATATCAACGAACGATCGTCACGTTGATAAAAATATGTGGGTTAATTAGCATGGGTGCATACCTCCTAACAAAACCGGAGCAAAAACGCTATGGTCCCCTGTATGAGGGGCCATTATTTGCGAGGTGTGTGGCGGAGTTTCTGGTAGTTCTGGAGGCGGCGGTGCTTCCGGAGCGGGATCGTGCAATCGGACACTGGAAGCTACTGCTTGTAGAGGCGCTGGCAACTTGCCACTTAAACTCCTGGCTTTTATGCCTGGCGATTTTAAGTTCAAGTCTGGCCACTTCCGAGGCTATTTTAGATAATATTGATGAATAATTATGAGCAGACGCTTCCGAACAGCATTAACAGCAATGCGGAGACTTACGACTCTCTGAGGTTGTCTGGACCCTCTAGGTTCCACTTCTAAACTTTTATTGTACAGGTAATTACTGATGTCAGCGTCTTTCATGTTAACGTCGAATGGACAGAGGTTTTCAATAAAATGTCTTATTCTCGGCTCAACAGAAAGACAATAAGGCTGGTTTTGGTATTGTTGAATCTCCCCAGTAATCTCAGCTACTTTTCGCCGTTTACTGAAGTTTATAAGTTCCGGACTTCCTGGTAAATAATCTGGATTTCCTTCCTCGATGTGTAGTATATTGGTCAGGTACATGCCTAGCAGAAATTATGACAATGACAAAAAATTGTGCTAATCACAAGGGACATCATTTTTAGAAATATTTTAAGCATTGAAATTGTATACCAAAAAAGGGTACGCAGGGTGGATTGATAGACCGTAATTTTTCTTGATATTTTCGAAAATGGTCGTTGTTTAATTCGCGAGCCTCTTCGAGAGCTTTTTCTAGTCGTGCAGGTATTTGCTGGATAAAAGATTATCACATTTAAATATAAATATACAATAAACTGTTTTTAAAAAAGACAGAATATTGATGCATCTTACCTGGAACGTAAATTTTAACCTAAATACGGAAGCAGATCCCATGGCACTAACAATGGCCAGAACACCATTGAAATTATTGAGATCCTGCAGCACCATCATTACCTCAATTGCACGAGAAACTATTGCAACTCTCTCTTCAAGATTCTCAGCTTCTACTATAGTTTTCTCAAGCCACCTTGTAAACTGTTATTAAACATTTTCATTAATTATTTCGTCAAAAGACTACACTGTGACTCTTCAGGTATATTTCTAAAGTCTTACGTTAGTCGTATGCTTGATCATTTTCAGTAAATTTGGAGACGTCTGTTCCTTGTCTTTTTTGGTCCAGACTGATCCCACCAATTCGGAAGGCTTTACTGTTCTGTACAGTTCGAATTCTAGCAAAGTTAGTTGTCTTGCTAGTTCGATGGGATGTAACTACAAAAATATTTTAAATGTCAATCGACTCAAGACGTGATGAAAAATATTTATGCGCAGTAATGAATGTCCATAAATTAATTATTATTTTAATCCTACCGTAAGTATTCCCCATTCTTCTTCAGGAACTTTAAGATGCCACTCGATAGGAGGCGGAGATCGTTCAAAACTGAAAGTGATGGGTCGCTGTTCCGAAGGTTCGCACTTTCGCTGCACGATTTTTATTACCGAGTCGACCCATTTTCTCATTGATTTACCGCTTACAGTATCTAGGAACAACTGTAGTCTTTCCAAGAGGTTTCTATCCCGCTCGAAATCATAAAAATGGTGATCGACCTAACAAATCAACAATCATTTATATTAAAATATAAAACCTTATACCGTATGGCAGATCTCAACAACTAACAATGACATTAAAGAATGCAACAACCATAGTCATTAAACATACCCAATGTCGTAAGACGTTGAGAACTCGAAACTGCACAGGTTGACAATACTCCTTTCTATATCTCTTCCAGTCTTCTCTCGCAGTTGCTTTACAACCAGTTGGCTTTTCTTCTTCGCCATAAACTAACGAAGGATCTGGTATATCAAACCTTTCGATCAGTAACGTCAGAAGTTCTTGTGGCGAGCAAAAACTCCTACAAATTAATAAAATATAAATTATCTTCTGATCGTATTTGAATCATGCCTAAACCGTTCGCTTCATTTTGGAATGATGCTACGCACATACCTATAAGTAGTAAGGAATGTTCGAACGAAAGCCGGATCGGCGTATATGTGATAGGTCAACCTCTCAACAAGTTTGACCAGGGTTGCACCTTTGATCAATGGCACACCCCCATTTTCTCTGGCTTCCAAAACCACATTTTCCAAGCTGTCTTGTTCCGCAAATTTGTACAAGTTTGGCGGGGGTAATCTCAGAGGATGTTTTCTTTCTTCATCCAAGAGTATACTGTCTAATGTTCTCTCTAGCATACTCTTAGTATTCAACATTACGAGATCAGCCATCCAACTGTTCTTGTCCTCGACGGATTTAGCGACAAGAGTAACGTTGGGATGGTCCCTTGGCGCGATTTCGAAAGCATTTTTCAGTTCTGTAAGGATAAAACGCAGAAACATATGCATATTAATTCCTCAAACATTCCATGTAGCGAATACAATAAAAATTCACCGAAAAATGATTACTACGGAAACTTACCATCTGTGTCTTCTCTGTCAATGATATCCACTTTCCTAATGAAAAATCGTTCTTTCAAACGAAGCTCACCTTGATGAGCTGTATGACTACTTCCAACAGCAACAGCTGCAACACTAACACTGACTCTTTTGCCACCACTAGGTTTACACAGCACTAATAAACCATCGAATAACAAAGCTTTTCTCTCCGTTAATCTTCTTCCATTGCTGCCTACTTTTCCTAGCATATCCTCTGCGGACAAAATATTTATAAGTAATCTAGAGATTAGCTCAATTTGGGAACTAAGAGATTTATCGTAAGTAACTAGACTCTCATAAGTTTTCTAATTATACGTACCCCTGATAAATTCGTTACAACATTGTCCGATATCTCTCTGGTCCCAACCGTCCACAGTTTTCTGCAACTCGCTGGTCTTTTCTAATGCTGCTTGCCTTCGTGCACGACTTTGCATACGCAGACCAGTGTCCTTCTTTGGAAGGCTTGCGACAGATTGTAACAATTCCATTTGCAATGGTCGCAAAAGACCTTGTACTTGTTCCAACGTCTCGCCATCATCCGTGTTCGGTGTTCGTTTGTGTAATACCTAAAACGAGAAATGGAACATTCTCTCTATTTATTCGGAATACAAAATAAAGATAAGATGATCAGATATATAAGACTGTGTGGGCAATATAGTGTAACCTGCAGTTATGACGGAAATCTGGTAACTCTGTAAGATCGGTATGCATCATATGTGAAATACAGGGTCAGTAGCATAAGTATTACAAGGGCGCTCGAAAATACACGCTTTGCTACGTATGCTATACATATCAGTAACAATATACTGATAACGGACACAAGAATTCTCTTCATAATATCGTCTCGTACGAGGTTATTTTTTTTTAAACTAAAAAATTTTGAATGTCACACCAACAATGTTTAGAGCTCACCGCTGTCTATGATCAATGCATCTATCAGAATTCGGCATTTCTAAAGACGAACATTAAAAAGTTGAAATCCGAAGTGTCACAAAATATTTAAAAAAGTCTTATCACTAGAAAATTGTACAATGAAAACACGTAGAATATAATAAATACACAAAGCGCATGTGCATCATATCAGAGTACAGTTCTTTGTACAGATCTTTTATGATTTTGAAGTAGACACAAGTGCTGAAAAGTGCTAAAGCGTAACGTTACTATACCTTAATGTAATCGAAGTACAAAAAGCAGTGCCACACTGGTTGCATCAAGAGTTTTGGCAAATAGTATTTGACAGCTTCTTTAAAACCATGTCCAGCAGCTCGTAACGCCGCATTGGCTTCCGACCTCGATAATAACCTCGTCAAAACATCTCGGCTACCTGGACTATTCATGTCCCTTGCATATCTATAGTAAAAACGTAATGCACAGAGATTACAAAGAAGCTGAAACAAGGTATTAAATAGACTAAAAATTGAATTCAAAAGCCGCGCAAGGATCATACTTTATATACACGTCGAATTCTGCCGCTTCAGCTAGCTCTTCGAAGCAAGAGCCAACCGTGGGAGTTTGTTTTTCTTCCGTGATCTCCATTATATCTTCTAAACTTCCAAGTAATGTTACAGTGACCTCGTATATGTCCATAATGTTACTAAAAAGTGTTTCGAGCTCGCCCCGATCTTGCGCCAATTTAGCAATTTCTTCTCGAAACACCTGCATTAGACAAACAGAATGGATTCGTGGACACTCGCGTTACGCAAATTGATTAATTATAAAATTACCAAACGATAGATTCGACGATTCGATATACCTTAATGATCATATGGAGATCGCGTAAATAATGACGTTCATCGTGTATGAGATCTCGAACAGACTCTTCATACGTTAAGGATACCACGGCACCTAAGCCACTTTGTGGACCTTCCGTACAGTCATCTTGGTAAAACATGTCCATCAGAACCTGTCAATGAATTAGATACTATACTAGCCACGCTCAAATAGCTCTTAAATATATACCACTGATGAACAAACTCGAAGAATCAAAGCACGTTAATATTACAGATACTTGTATCGTTCATTTAAGTTAAAGTATTTGATAAGTTACAGCGATATACATTTTCTTTCTAACTGATGCACGACTTATTGATTGTGGAAAAATAATATAGGATCTTTTTGCAATCCGAAAAACTTAGTGTATCCATAATTTCTATCGTTATCTTACTGTTAAAAAGCAGTGCTCGACAGTTAAGAAGAGTGCTTACAGTGAGTTAAAAAAAATTAGTATCACGTATTATATTAGGTTGACGCTAATAGTCGTAATGATCGACACATGCGATTATGGTGTATCACGAGTAACTGACGTATGACTATGAAATATTTCTAGTGATAACAACACATTGTTAATACATAAAGAACTGTATAATGTAAGGGAGTTAATGTTCATGATAGGTCAAGGTGTGAAATTAAATTTATGCAAACTACAGTAATTTGAAAAATCCTAGACATATATGATTATAATTAAATAAAATTTGTTAATGATTCTAAGTCAATCTTCAATTACGATCGTTGCGAAATCTTTGGTAAATAATGAGTTTTGTGATTTTTAAGACACAAAGAACCCCAGTAGATTGTACATACAGCTGACAGTTAGCCACTAAATAAGAAAATGCACAAAGTGTCACCTGTCTAGCAATTACAAAGATTACAACAGATAGCATTAGCATTCTAAAAACGACATCCATCGAATGCACAAAATCCATACACCGTGTTTGTGGCTTAATTAGCTGTTAACAAAAAAATTTCTCATTCATATGGAATAGAAAAACTTCGTTAAAAAAGTAACAGTGCAATCTGCTCTTCTAAATTTTTTATCATTGTGAACATCAATTACGTAAATTCACGGATCCCATTCTCTAGGTAGATGTCTCACGTATGTCATACTTTACACACCAAAAAGATTTCTAGCGTCAGAAGTAGAGTAAAAAGTATTACATACATCGAATATCATCTGTGATCTAATAAATTTCTACTGGGGGTTCATAGGTACGTACCACCTAGAACAGCGTGAGCGAAGAACGAACATGGTTGATGTTGTTATTAGTTAGTGGAAAGCATGTAACCAAGCAGAGAACATATGCAGCCACAATTACTCTGTGACTAGTCTAGCATAGCCATTCGGCATTTTTCGAAATTAAGTAATGCATCTGTTGCTAGTAGTGGTTGTCTCTTACCTAAATAATTATTAATGAAAGTGTATGCATAGTCATGGCTGGAGGACTGTATATGTATAATAAATATCAATGGAGACCATCTAGTACTAGCAAAGTGTTTTAATTTCACAACTGCCTTTAGGTCAAACAATAAATCATTGGGTTACCCTATTTCTATATAAAGCTTCGAAAGCTATACAATTATTCTTAAAGAATCTAATTTGCAAGACTGATTCGCATGGAGTTAAATTTGTCTTTCAATTTTTTTATTGAAACTTTGATACTTTGATATTTCAAGATTTATCATTTGACAATATTCAAAAATAGTTTTAAATTCCATTGATTGTCTTGTATTTGATTATGAATAACGTGAAGCTATTTGTACTTGTTAATTACACGATTCAACTTTTCTATGACTAAAGACTATTGGAATCAGTCTTACAGTGCCATTGGCACTCAATGTTAGACACTGTGTACGTCAATTAGTATGTGCGCGACATAGACACAGTACAGGCTTCAAGTTTTCTGAAAATGATATGTTACCATGTCTGCATACATCGCAACTCTTATATCTTCACAGGAAATCTCCACATGACGTATATTCTTGACATAGTTTCCAGCTAGCTGGAAAAGAATTTCAATAAACAAATGCAGTCAATAATCATATTTTTAAGTGCCATGCAAAGTATTTTGAAGTACACTCTATGTCATTCAAGTAATAAAATGGAGTATATCTTGTTAACTGTAATGCTAATCATTTCACGAACCTTTAAAATATCAGCAGAAATATATTCCAGTACACCCACAACAAATAGACTGACTTGGGAGTCAATTTTGTGCTGCAATACCTCCTGTAAAGAAATAAAAATTTGTCCCCAATAAAAATAGCATTTCGTCAGAAGGACCCAGGAAAAAACATAATATGTATGACTCATGACACTCATCACTTTATGAAATAAAAGTATAATCCATGGCTTGAACAAGTTAACAATCAACGTGCAAAAATGACTTCTTTTCATGTTTCAATTGCCAAAGAACACAAATACATGGCAACATATTATACCTGCGAATATCTATCTTAGTGCAATTTCTATATAATTTGTAGTTTGTTGGTTGTTATACAGATAATAGATATAACTACTTTTAAAAATGTTTTCCATCTTCTCACAATTATTATACATACTTTTTGTAAAAGCTGGTGGATCTTATCAACAGGAAGTACTAATGGTGACTTCTTTTTTCCTTTTTCTAAGGCATCTCTCGCATCCCTGAGAGCCCACCTATCGATAGGAGTAGGAAATGTGCGTCTTACACGTTCCTCTACATCTTGGGGAGTATGAGGTGGAGGATGTCCACAGAGCATACCCAACATTCTTAAAATTAGGCTTTCCACATAGTCCAAGGCATCTTGTCGAGCTTGTAGACTAGGGTGCACTTGTTCCAAAACCTGTTTACAAAATATAACATATACATATATCACATTTGTACATAGTAGAATCTCTCAAGAAAAGGAAGTAATGAAACGAAGTAACTGAATGCTTATAGAAGGAATCTTCCGGCAGTTGAATAATATCAAATTTTCAAATTTTTTTTATTTATCTTAATAATATAAAAACTGCCGTTGAAGGAGACGACGAGCGATAAGAAATTGCCTACCATATACATTCATACATGCACTCACAAGACACCAGCTGATTTGAAATCATTTACCAGTACTTGAGCTTTTTCCCTACGGTCATGAACCTAACATTAAGCATCACGAAATAGCTAACTAATTAGAATATAAGGGGGAAAAAACGAACCTTGCGAAGGGAGTTGACAAACACTCCCTTCCACTTGGCGGCGTTCTCTTCTTTCTGAAAGTCGTAGCCTGACGGCTCGCCCACTACCGATGCCGGCGACGAAAACATTTCACCGTATTATCCAGGAAATCACTCACTCTCAAAGCATTAACACTCAAATACTAGAAGACGCTCGGGCACGGTCCCATGATATTACACGCAGCATTGTCAGGATTTGGAGAAACTTGACAGAGACGTCCGTCCGTCCGTCAGTCTGTTGCTCAGGGCACAGACATCTCTGTGAGAATGCGACAGCTAGACCTGACGATTGTGTTTACGTGTGTCCCTACTGTCTCTTGCACCTCTTAACCTCAATAGCACTTTTGGGCGTTCCCCGAGCGCTTTCGGATTCTGCCGCTTGCACATTTTACACGAGCTTTAAGTCGAATTCTTCTGAAAATCCACGGAGAACATCACTACTGCCGAAAACTACCATTGCGCGATCGCATCGGATCGATACTTCGATACGGCATCACCTCGCGTCACGTCGAGATGTATCGAATCTCGAATAACGTCTAGCCGCCTCCATAATACAAATAGACGAGGTATAACCACTACTTAGCGGTTCTGCGCATTTTAACAGTGACGACACCAGACCCTTTCTATTCTACTCGGTTGATCGTTCGCTGCCGCGATTTTCTTATCTTTTAATTGTCACATCGCCTTTTTTCGAACTAGATTTGGCACCAAATATACCTTGTGGAACGAAACCTGCATCGTGTGCAACAAATGGATCGATTAAAACTATTAAAAAATATATTTTATTATCTAAAAATTATATTTTTCGATAAATGAGTATATGCTTTAGACATTACTTGTTAGAAAGAAAACATTGAAAAATACGCATTTTTTTAATACTTTGCCTACCCAATGGTTGTTTTTTGTTTCGGTGCGTTATTGTTTATTAAATTATTTTACTTTAATAATATTATACGTCTTACATTGATTTTCAGTTTCCGTGTTTCATTCTGGATTGCCTCATAGTTTTCATAATTTCACCACCATTCCCCCAGAATCACTTATCGGTTTTAAGTACTCCAAAAGCATGATGATTAACTCGTGTTAAAGGCTGCTCATGACAAAACTCTTTGCTGACTTCACATCGATTAAGAGTCTCATCGTTTCTTCTATGTCTCTGACACTTGATATTGCTGCTCCTGTAAAATTCACATCACAACTTTAGCTGGCAAAGAAAGAAGTTAAAGGAATAGAAACAGCGAAACGGATTTTCCTTTATTTAAACTTACTTCCTCTTCTTCTTCTTTTTCAATTTGTGAGCACTTAGTCTGTCGAGGATAACTTTCGACTACTAGCCGCAGGGTTAATAATTGATTGGGAAGTTCAGGATTATGGCTGAGACATTATTATGATATCACAGTGGAGTCTAAATTTTCTTACACCTCGATTTCTTTTCATTCCCCTACATTGGTGCCCCCACTCTATCTACTTGAAGGTGGGGAACCCAAATATGTACTAATATTGTATTTTACCGAGTATTTTAATCCAGCAAAGCTCATGTAAACTTATGCAATATACATATGTATATGAAATCATTTTTATGAAGCACGTGAGTAATTTTGTTGGTAAAAATAAGACATCCCTTTGTAAGTTAAATAACGCGACAGATCTTTACACACTGGGACAAAATTTTTGTATGGTCTTCTATATATTTCTACTGCAGTCTACTGACTTATAATGTACAAACAATTATTTTATGCGACCTTTCATTTTATTTAATAGGTACACATATACATATACTTATTAAATTCTTATATGAATTGCGTGTATACATATTGCGTGTTCGCACAAATATTTGCTTTTGGAAGTAACGTACCAAAGTAGTACATATTCGTCTATTTTAAATGAATTGAGTGTTCATTATGGAATTAAATAAACTCTACCATTATCGATTCTGCGGAGGAACATGAATACGTAATTCAAGTCTATAATATACTATTTCGGAGAGGGCAGCACCTTTCTATTACTTCATAAGGCGAAACGTCTTTAATAGTAACATAGCGCGATTCTATTGTGAGTGATGTTACGGCGGAGTTATTGCATGTAGTGGTATCATGTTAGGTTAGGTTTGAACGTGACGTCATTGCACCCTGTGCGATCTGGACATAAGTGTGATCGCTAGTGGCTACACCCCATCTATATGTATCATCGACGCTCCTGCCTCGTGGTTCATCTTAGCAGCTATGAGCATTTTGCAAGTGACAGTATCTGGATCGTTAAGGCCGCCTGTCAACCGTATGGATCGTACGAAAGTGACATCGGACTTCTCATTGACTAAGTGTTCTATGACGAACGATTTTGACCTATCAGAACTTTGCTTTTCCGACTACTTTCACTTATCCCACAGCCTGAACGAGGTTGCTTAAAAACTATACAAGATACTTTAAAGTTTGATTCCAATTCTCTATGCTCATTAATGAACGTATCTTACTCGCCATTGTTTCTCTATCGACTCTATCTACGAATATGTTTTCGGTTATAGATGGAAAATAGGATACTTTCAGCGTCAATGAAAGTTTAATGCCACTTTGGAGCCAGTATGAGGTAACAATTGAACAATTGAATAATGGAATTGATAAATATTTTTAGTTTATTTAATTCTATTTCGGGTAGTAATTTGGCGGACGAAATTTGGGTAAAGGAAAATAGATGTGATCATAATACAAAAAACACAATGAAAATTTATGATCGTTAATTAGGAAATTAATGAAATTATGGGAACAATATGAAATAAATAAAAAGATTCGTATCCAGAGGAATATTTTTTTATTGCATTTACATTCATTTACATTTTCCTATTGAGGAAATAAATATGTTATCCTATTATGAAGAATAAATCTCAGCGTTTTAGGAATAATAAATTATTAAATAATATACAGTAAAAAAGTCAATAAATAATTTATCGCTTAAGAACCTTATTCGTCGATACTTTTTTCCACAATCCTCTAATGCAGATTATTAGAAAACAAAAGAATTATATTATAACAACGACATCGAACTTACATGCCATCATGCAAATGAAAGATGATACCATTCAATGTATGGAATCAAGGATGAATAAATAATAAAAATCTACCTAGAGCAATAAATAATACGACTACGTCAAATTCGATTAATACAATTCACAGAGGTCAACGTTAGCTTTAATAAGCGTATACCTACTTATTAATTTTTAAATAAATAATATAAATAAATTCTTTAAGGGAAAGCTATTATTGAACTTTTATCAGAGACATTTACATGGGTGTTTTGGGTTTATGAATTCGTAAAAAAAATTCAATCAGACGTAAATAGGAAACAATAAGCATCCCACAAACTCAAACTACTTGCTAATTCAATAAATAATACATTGTAATAAATTAAATAAGTTACTTAACCAAAATACATATATGTATGTTGCACATATATGTATGTACAAATATTCTCTCAGAATACTGTCTCGTTTTAAATACTTAAGTATCGAACACAGCAAGTTACAATAAATAAAGACTCCATCGTGGACCTCACGCATCCATTACCATCCATCGGTAAACTGTGCATTCTTCATATAATTGTAATATTTTACTTATTTATAACGTATTTGAAATTCACTTAAGAATTCAAACTCAAACGGCGGAAGGTTCGCTAATACTGTTCAGTCTCCGAGGGTCGAGGGCCTCTTCTTTGACTTTTGCATTCCCATTAAGATATCCAAGTTATATAAACTGATCCTCCGTTTCGCCCTCGTGCTGATGACCAAAATCCTCCTGTAAGCAAAAGAAACCAAGAATTAGACTGACTCCGTATCGGGAAAGCTTAAAAGATAATTAGAAAAAAAGCCTAAATAACCTTTCAAAATTTCAATGGGTTATATCTCACTGTAATGTCATTCTCATTAAATGAAACGACCTATATTTAGTTGCCCGATTGCTCAATTTTAATTAATAATTAATTCTATCTGAATCAGTTCAATAAATTGCAACGAGACGATTGATTGCGAATCGTATATTGCCAATGGGAAACTTACGTACTGTAATTATAGTGATTACCGCAACTAGACTATCGCATTCTCTAAATACCGTAGAACCTTGAACATCCTCTATATCGCCGCGACGGCCAGCAAGCGCTGGCGTCGCAAGATTAACGAAACCTAAAGGCAGACAAGTATTGCACTCGATGTCGCAAAGTGAATCGAGTATGTAGAGAGGAATTGAAGAGACGAAAAAAAATGTTTTTCACATAAAATGAAATATCGACTGTGACGCAAGAATTTCAGAAATTAATCGACGACCACACAGTGCGAAGACCCCAGGCTCACGTCAGCGTCTGATAACTCGGTGAATTCACACATTAAGAGAGTCAATTGATTTGTAAGTCAGTCATGTGTTTGACTCAGAGATTACCACTCTGTATAACTATATGGTGGTTGTACAAAATGAATGAGTCCATTGAAATTGCTTGCCAATTCGTATACAAGAATCCTCAGAAATACTACTGATAATTTTATGCGGTATAGCATGCATACTGGATATTTTTTCTAGCTTTATCATAGCTTATATATATCTTGGTACATTTTTACAAAATCATTAGCATCACGTTACACAACTAAATCATGCATGCGAATATTATAAATCGCGTGTAGATCAGTAACTATCTTGGCATGTGCCTTTTTTTCAGTTATTTGAGCTCTTTATCTGCAGAATTGCGTTTTACTACGCACGTCAATGAATTAAACAAATTGCCACTACATGACTATGTATTGCGTGATTGTAAAATAAAATAGCGTTATCGTCCAGTCCTGAAGTAAAGGTTACTTTTGACACGTGATAATTACGCACCTGAATTGTGATAAAAACAAAAAGTACTTAGATAAATTAATTATCAATTTGTACGACGAATGATTACTAAGTTTTATTTTTAATGAAAATTATCGCATTTGCTACGAACGACTTGACGTCCGTTCCAATGCTTAATTGTGCATATGTTCAAAATTGTTGGTAAGACTAACATGAATTTTTCCAAATTTTCAAATTCTAATATCGCATGACAGTAAAGGACTCTTACCAAAAAGGAAGACGGTAGCTCCACGCTTTCCTCGCTAATCGAATTAGACTCTTGTGCAGCTGCTTGTAGAATACGTTGTAACTTTTGTAAACCACTTTCCATATTCGATCGTCGTCTGCGACCACTGCAATCAAGAAAAGTAGGAAAAAAATTGATGAAAATACATCATTTAAAATATGATCATTAAAACAAAAATTATAAACATTCTTGATATCTCTCTTACGATTCTCGTGATATTGAAATTTGAAGGGTCAGTAAAAAATACATTAATTCTGGTATGAAAAGTTAATACAATTTTTTTAAGGCCAAATCTTCACCGGCCCTAGTACTAAATCAAACAGCATGAAATGTCACATGAAAAATATATGATGTTCATACACGTCACTTCACTGATCATGATATATTTAAATTGTAACAACTAGTCACGTGGTGGTGATTACCAAAAACTAATTAAAATGACTAAATGGGCTGGAGTAGGTCAGAAATAATGAACAGACATATTACGCATTAAGCTTATGCTCTTTGAGACACTCTAATGAGATAACGAGAGTATACACACGAAATAAAGTCAAAGCTAATAATTCGCATTATCCATATTCGCAAATTCCATATCAATCGTAAATTACATGTACATCCGTTATTGAGAGTTTTTCATGACGGGATAAGTCAAAAGTCAAGATTCGAAAATCGAAAAAATCATACAGTATCCTGTATCCCAGTGAGAAATGTCGTAGCGTTAGTCATTCCCATTTTCGCAATACGTTAATAGCAATCGTGACAGGAATGGAGAATCGGTTTAGAGCAAATCACCGACTTAATTGTTTTCCTCGTATTGGAAACTTTTCACGAAATTCAATTATTTGCGTATCCTACCCTATTATCATTTGCACATGTGTACTACCTACGCCTGTTCTAATTTATTATTTTCATTGATTGCGCACCGCTATCTCTTATCTGTATCTCCCGTTACAATGACCCACGCAATATATTTTCGCGTCTATAGAAATATTTGCAACAATCTAGGCACTTATTATAAAAACAGTCTATGACATATCCAATTTTTCAACGCTACTTTCATCGCGCAAAAGACGATTCCCTATTGCTTCGACTTTGAACACAAATTTATACCATGGAAATTTCAAGACGAAATGGGAATTTCATAACACGGTTAGGCACTCCATTACCGTAGCGCGTAGCAATTTCTCGATACGACTATATGTTTTATTCTATCAGTAGATACGTCTGCGTCATCCTTTTACTTTAACACTCACCATTCTTGATTTCATTACCGAAGTTGCGTTACCTTGAAATTCTTTATTTCACCCCCAGCCGACCCTGATGAAAACACTTTCTTCCAAAAATAGCTATACTCTTTGTTACCGCGTGTAGTAATTCTTATAAAGTGACTCTTGCTATTAAAAAATTTAAATCGTTCAGTTTCACATCGGCGAACCAAAGGAACATAAAAGACTGCATAGAAAACAATGAAGCTAAATACATTAGAATTTCATACTAATTTATTATGAACGTATTGGATCACTCGACCAGTCAATTTAATCCAGTTAATTTCTTCTAATTAAAAAAGAAACTAAAATCCGTCGATAATGATAATACTAAAGATATAATTGATAATTGATTATTTTAATGATGCCTTTAAGGCATTATGCATTGTGATCAAATACAGATTTTTATTTGGCTTTGGAATACCATTGTTCTTTAGCTATGTGTCATAGTAATCTCTACGTGATCACAATACCGAATAATGATATTATATGATAAAGATATGATACTACTATCTATAGGTATATAGTCATTTTGTATTAGTAACGTGTTAAATTGACGCAACTACCTTCAGTCATGTGATCGACTTATGATCGTAATTCCTTCTTAATTAGTCACCTTATCACTATCGAATTATTTAACAAAATTCCGAAGGTGCATCAACCTGTACTTTGGTCGGTGTTTATTACATCATTACCACAGAGTACGCGAATGACTGGTTCGTGGCATTTGATATATTCGCACAGGATTAACTAACATCGAGGCAATATAATTAATCGCTGGTACGAAGAATGAAATCAGCGTTCAAATATTCGCTCAGTATTAAGAACAGTTTATAGTTCTACGTGGGTTTGATGCTCGGTCTTTACATCGAAATGTGCAACTAGCAGATTTCCACGAAAGACCATTGGCAAAAGTGTTATACAGTCGGACTTCGATAACTCGAACTTTTGTAAGTCAAAAACTTCTACAAGACTATGAATCTTCGAATTTTCTATTTCTTCATTTCTATAACTTGAAAATTTCCGATAGATCAAAACTGCAGAAAAAAAAAAGTTAACTGACAAAGCAGAAAATTGAAAGGTTCGGAACAAATGAGAATACAATATTTTTCTATTTGCACATCATTTGTCAGAAACAATGGAAATTCACGTTATATACCTGACACGTGTAAATCACGGATTTCCCTTTCCCACGATATCTTCGGAACCGAGACGGAACTGTATTCACATAAACGGAGACTAATCGTTCCGCTTGTGCGAATCACCGTATCGAGCTATTATGAGATTATCCAGTAACTACAGTTCAGTCGGTCATTTATAGGAAGATATGTGATTTAATAGATCTTCATTATATCGCGTCATTTTATAATGGAATTTACTTTGAAAAAAATTCTACCGGATATTACCTATACCTTTTGTAGTTATTCACTGGAAAACTCGATTGCGCTTGGGAAGTTACTAGGTATCGATCAATTATTTTTTATCTATATTCAATTTCTATTCGAACTTATATAATTGTTTTGGTCATGGGAAAATAGATACTTACAGTCTGTCTGGGTCCACGCGTCCGAATCCTATCGGAACCGTAACCAACTTTCCTCGCATTCTCGACAGTGACAAAAGGGTTTCGAGCTCCGCCAACCTCTGGTCAGAAACACGTTTTTGTCTACTGGAAATATAACACAAATTTTCCTATAGTAAGGTACATAAAATACTGTGATATGTATAGGAATATACGTATGTGAATATGAAATTCAAAGAATAATATAAAGATTATTATACGAGATATAGTTAAACCCAATAATTTGTATTATCATTATGAACTATTTGTATAATGTATATGAATATAAATGAATATACATGCATTTAAAACACTTGACAATTTGTACGTTTCTGAATGACTAAACTGGAAGTGCATATTTATTCGGATTGGCGGTAAAATGTTACCACGTCTTTCACCGTTAAATTATTAATGAATACGATCAACCGGTTGCTTAGTGCGTTCTCACGTTAAATAACGTACATTGGGAACTCGAAATGAGTATAGAATAGAAACGTGATTTTAACTATTTAAACGAGGACGGGAAATTTGTGCAACCGTTGCAGAATATGCATATTACAGTCATTGCTCAGTTAATCAGCTGAAAAAGCTTGAGATAATTTTTAAACGTAGCAGTTCTTGAATGACATGAAAATTCAAGCTTATTGCATCATTTCGTACGAACTTGTGATATTCATGGGTATATCCATCTTATTAGACAAATATTCATAATGGAAACAAAACCGTGATATGTTGTGTCAGGTTAAAGTATCATGTGTATGTGGTTTCGTATAGCGAGATTTTACCCCCTTGAACGTAAAGCACGTTGCTAATTATACAGCAATTTATTACCAGCGGCTCACTTTTCAAAAAAAATATAACGATAACGAGAATGAAAAGTTACATTTAATTATTTAAGTATGTAACTACATGAACTTCGGTACAATGTACTTGCTAGTTTTTAATTATTCGCAGTGGTTATAAGTCGTAATAATAACAAGTAATCGCATTATAGCATAACAGTCAAATCGTCTATTAGAAAAGGATTTAAATGAATAATAAACAAAATTTTTTTAAATTGATTCCGCATCAATGTTAATAACGAAATTACACATCTTTTTAAATTACACATCTATATCCATCCAACAAGTGATTAAGTATTATGTTAATTAAAAAGTATGAAAAGAAGCAACGAAAAATTTCTACCTCGTATGGCCGGATGGTCTGGCGTGAACGGTTTCCGGCAATAGGATCATCAAGAGCACTGCAGCAACCACTACCGTTGTGAACTCAAATCCCACAATACTGAACTTCTTCATTTTTGAAACTTGTAAATTACGCGACACGATATTTCCCTCGCAAAGCAATACAACCTCTATCCTGGTTTCACAGGTAGATAATGAAAAAAAAGACAAATAATTGCTTATCGCACTTCACTGACTTTTATAAATGTTCTCACTAGAATATATATTTATATGTTTTGCACCGTTTTCTATTTCAATATTTTGCACCTTTCTCTATGTTTATCTCTTCCGTTTTGTCTCGTGGTGAACTGTACCATGCTGCTGCTCGCTTCCAGCATATATACCAACCGCGTTAGCTATCCCCCCACTCTCTCACGGTTCCTCCCTGACTTTTATCAGGCGTTTGGTCCCCGGCCTTCTGAATTCCCAAACCGGGAGTTCTTCCGCTGCTACACAAGACATGGAATTTCGTTGGCTGTGTACGGTCAGGACTCGTTTCAAAGGTATCAAGGATATCCTCCTTGATAAATTTCGATTTTCTACACAAGTATTTTAAAGCTTCTTCTATAGGTTTTCTCGGCCTGTCAGGACTACAGTATCTATTGCTCAAGATAAGGTTCAAAATGCTAAACGACGGATGAGAAATTATTAATAGCTTATGAGGAGCAATAAGTGAAATTGTCTAACTTGTAATTAATTATTAATTAATCGTTAGTTGAAATAGCGACAAAATTTTATCTTTCTGTACAATCAAAAGTCTCAATTTTATATTTCAACCCTCGTATAGCGGCGCATAATGATAATATCCATCGTGCTCATGGGAAATTGATGTCATTAACTTGACATCATTTTGAGCAATATTTATTTTCGCATTGTTAATTCGTACGATATATTGTATGTGTCATTGAAAAGCCGAGAACGGATGATTAATGATGTAATTTTGCGTAAATCCCAACTGTATAATATACTTTCGAATTTTTGAATGTCCACTTGAAACTTGCCGTTCTCCTAGAAATATGACTCGACAAAAGTCAATGGGTGAAATGTCTCTCATAGAAAAAGCTCAGGTATTAGATAAGATAAACTATGATCTTCGTTGGTTAAACTAACGTTTAGTAGATGATGCACAAAAAATGCCCAAAGGTTTCTAATGCGTCAGAAGAGACGTGTGAACTGTTCTCGTCAAACAAAACCTTCTGTACCTATTAAAAAAAATTCTCCGAAGAGAAATATATTCTTAAATCATAAATTCAAGGTATCTTCAAGTGACATTACGCATGTGTTGAGGTCGTAAAGTTGGCGTAACCAATTATTCGGCTGGGCAAACGATAACGTGGATAATAAGACTTGCAAGAATTGCTTCATAGTATAGAAATGTTGCATCAATTACTCTTGTTATTTTTCTGCGCTTTTAGGTTTTCTTTCATTATTTTTTTTTATTTTTCAAAACGGCTCTACTTTACGAGAATGCAACTAATAATTGCACTGTTTTCCCTATCGATATAATTTCTTGTTCGAAATAATTTATTTTGTCACCGTTTACATTTCTATGAATTAAACTAACTTTAAAACGCACCTGACTTACGCGGTATGAATTTTATTGTACTCGTACCTTGTACATACATTCATCTCTGGAAATATTCTACGTATAGAAAGGTAAACGTTCGACCTTATCTATGATATTTTAAGCTAGGTTTGCAATGAACTTGACGCAATGAAAAAAATTATGTGGAATCATGTAGCATGAATAAAATTTTATAATATATATAGCTGATATTGTATATAAAATTTGATTTTATCGATTGTACCCGTTTGTAACTAAGAAAGGTACTGATTTGCAATTTCTACACAAAAATTTTGTTATACGGTACACTCATAATTGAACAAAGTAAATCGCTTGGAAAAAGTAAATTGAATATATCATTTGAAATATATTTTTAGTATTATCGATTAAATATTAATATATATATCATAGATCGATTTAAATATTTATTACAATAATTTTCATTGTTTAGGTATTGCGAAAAATATATAAAAATGTTTTTATACGTATAAAACGCTATAACGTATAACGGAAAATATATTATTAGCGTAAATATAATACTTACATAAAAACTTAATATTCATTTTCAATGTATCTAACTGGTATACTTTATTCTTTTACTGTATCGCATTTCTCGTATTTACTTAGCGACTGACTTTCATACTTCTCTTGCTTTTTACTCTCCTTAGACATTCGAAACTACGCCTTATTAAAGGAACCATATGCAATCGGCACTTCCTTGGATTACAAAGTACTGTAATACGAAACTGCATGGTAAGCTGTATATACGCTTTACGAAAATTTCAATAAAACGGAAACGTTTTATTGAAACGGACCTTCTCCTTCGTATTAATTCTGTAGACTCAAACAATTCAAAATATTTTGTCAGGATAATTGAAACTATCCTTTGATGCTTTCTAACAGTTTTGAGACACTGAAAAATATTTTATAAGATATAGGAATGCACTTTATATCGTTATTGAGTCTTTCAACGGTGGCACCTTTTTTCACGCTGTAAAATGCACACATACGTTTGTCAAATCTAGCATCGTAAGATTAAATTAAAATTAATAACAAATTTAAATTTTGAGTTAAAATTGCACAGAAAGAATCACGCTCTAATCAGAATATATACATATATCGTAAATATTTTATCACAACCGTACATGCATGTACGTTCTAACGTAGATTTCTGTGAAACGGTTCGTACATATCTGTATTAAGATTTATGATTAGAGAAACAATTTTTATAGGACTATATAAAATTTGATTAAAAATCAAAATATATCTGATTCGATACATATCCCTACTAGTGCTTACGATAATATATCTTCCGTCGGACACCGACTAGATTTGTCCAGACATGACAGGTAATAAACCATAGCAGGGATATCAAAATTTGATAATCGATCATTGCAACCTTTCATTTGATAATTGTTCTCGTTAGTCATTCGAAAATTAAATGACGAAATTACCACGTAGACAAGAGAAATGACGTAGTACCACGAGATGACAAGAAAAAGCCGACAACAATTTATTTATATGACAGGAAACGAATATAAACACATTTACATGAATTCTCTTCCGAATCTTTATTAATAATAATAATAATAAAACATTATCTCATTAATATCCATACCCAAGGTTCAAATTAAAGTAATTTTTACTAGAAATTATTTTATGGTTATATAAACCGATCAAAAGGGTCACGTTCACTTATTTCTTATCACACGATAAGACTTAACTTTTATTCAAGTAATATTATACAAAGTAATTGATAACAATTAAAAAATTACTTTTTACCTGTCCTTGTTAAGAAGTCATTAATAACTAATGGCTCCATGCAAAAAGTATCTAGAATGCAGAACACGAGATTTATAATAGGATGCAAGCGATCTACATTTGAATTTCAATTGAGTAGCTACTACGACTCTGTACTCTGAAAAATGACATAGCGACCAGCGAAGGCGAAACGATGTTCCGATTAAGATACAAAATAAAAATTAATGTAGGTCATGGTGTACGCGTTCTATCGATAGTTGGCGAGGGTTCAATAAATGTGTAATCCCAGTCATGTGATACACTACTGACTAACAATAAGTCATTGTCCGAATTAATTCCAGTTCACAGTAAATTTACTTAAACTACATTATAATGACACTAGGAGGACAGTTACAACAAAATGGACTCAGAACTGAATTTCAGTACGCAATAATGTTACAGAAAGCATATAATCATAATAAACAAACGCAAACAGGTAATTTAAAAAATCTTTGTGAGATATATTTAAGAAAAACGAATTACGTAATAAATTTTTTTTAGTAATATCGTGAAAAAGCGTATCGTATGATAAACCGCTCAAAAGATTGAGAGAGTCAAACGGATAATATCTATAAATCTTATCACTGTATACCTGACCTCAGTTTTCTTACAAATTAATATAAGGGATGCTTATGTAACATCGAACATGGTTAAAAGACCCTTTCTCATGGCTAATTCGGAGACTTTTGGTAAATTTGATAAATATCCCAACTGATAGGAAGAATAATATATACTGTAAAAATTAAATTAAATAACAAAAAAATTATTAATATATTTACAACCATATGCAAACGCTACAGAGCCACGCGTCTATATTCACGAATATTCTATAGTTATAAACATTCCCCTGAATCGTAAAAAAAAATTGTATTTCATCCATCAGCCATTAACGTTACATGAAAGTATACGAGTAACTTCGTCATGCATCCGGTTTAATTGGTCCACTTCGTCGAAGTGGCTTCGAGGAATAAGTACAGAAAAAATTAAAAGACCACCTGTTGCAGCACACGTCTGGTACTTTGACTTTTCAGTGAAACGGAACGTGGTGTGAGTGGGTAAAAGTTTCTTGAAAGTTGCAAAATCTCTTCCACGAATATATTCATGTAATGACATAACGCTCAAGTCGCGTGAAGTCGTGAAACATTTTTTTAAGACTTTTTATAGGAAAAATGGGTACCCCCTATAGTGTACACGAACGCGTATAGTGAACGACACTCTGGTTTTGTCGGAACGTATATTACTACGTACGATCCTACATACTACGTAATAACGAATAGTATGACGTCAGAGATTGGTGCATCACGCACTAAAAATGCACGAGGCAAAAGGAATACCCTTTTTTAATTATAATATAACCATATGAGTAACATTAATGGCATGTGGAATATATTTGTAATATTATCAATTTATCAATTATTATCAATTATTTCTGATATACTATGACCGACTTAGTAGTATGCGGTATACTTTATCTATTCACAATATGTATTAAGTGACATAGTACCTGCTTATTATCTCTATTAATTCCGCGTATTAATATTTTCCAATATAATTCCAAATTAGAAATTCTGCATTCTCACATCTATACTGTTATTAGCTATTTTACATTCTTCGCATCGATTTCTGCGCCTTTATGCGACGGACAATGATAATCGCACGGCTGACGGGAGATAAGATATATCAGGCTTTAACGTCGTATGAGGAAAGTAGCGATATGACAAACCAATTGGAGGCATTTCGTAGTGTATTCCGATTCGCTAGCTGATGAGGTCGTCGTGACGCGATACAATGCGACGTCATCGGTTACAGAGCCGTGGTCCAGAAACGACATTGGCCGTCGTCTAAGATTAGAACATCGTGACTCAATACTTTTACAGTGGCACACGCCTCCATGCGAGTTGTTAATACATCATGTCACTTCCCCAATAGCGCCT